TTATCCGAACCTAATCAACGAAGCTTTTTCACTAGCTTTTTCAGCTTGTCTCTGAAGCGCTGCTGCGATTGTTTTATTTCCCTTAGTTTCAGCAAGTATATCGTCAATATTGTCAATGTTCCTCAACAGCTTGTGAATCTAAAGCCAACCATTAGGATTCATGAACAAGCGAAGAATTATTGCATAACTCAATTATTTATTTTAACCTTATCGCCGAGTTCTTTTATTTCCTCCGGTGTTAGTGATATTTGAGCATCCAGTACTTCTTGAGCACGAGCACGAATCTGTTCAGGACTTGAACGTTCTTCATTAAGAAAGCTATCTGTTTCTTTCAAAATTGCTTCAAGTTGTTCCTTTGTATTATTTGCCTTAAATTAAAAGATTATTCCCTCCCGTGTTTAACAACTTTATTTGTAAAAAAATTTACCATTTTTGCTGCTTCCAGTGCCACTTCATGTCCTTTGCTAGCTTTATTTTTGGTTATAGAAGCACTTGAAAGTAACCTTTGTGTCTCGCCTTTTAACTAAAAAAACAAATAGAATTATCACTAAAACCTTATCCATTTATACAACAGACGAAAAAACAAAAAAATTAGGAACCCCTTCAGCTTTTCGTTGTTTCTCGTCTAATTTACCACCCGTTTCGTTGACATAGACAAGCGCCTGTTTTGCCTTTGTTACTGATCCTTGCAAGCAGGAACCACCACCTCCACAATGTCCACAATCACCAGGGCCGCCGCATAATTCGTCACAATCAGCAGATTCCGCACCACATACATCTTTATTTAGGCCTGGCAGTAACTTCTCCAAGGTGGACATCTATAATTGTATGCGATCCCCACTCAATGATTTATAAGAAGTGTAGAAGTAAAAATAAAGTTATTTACGATAAGAAATAGTCAAGCTCAAAATTTTGGCTTCTGTAGTTGTGGGAAATCAAAACAAAACCAGAAATTACAACCGTAAAACAGTTTTGTAGACATATTTACAAAAAATAAGTATAAAGAATTCAAGACAGAACTAATAAATAAAAAAAAATACACACTTGGCTGCCAATTTCCTTTAATGCTGCTTCGTTTTCGTCAAACTGCTTTTGGAAGTCTCTCTCATTCTTTTCCAACATTTCCTCAGCCTTATTTCTCTCATTCTCAGCAAGTTTGATTAATTCATTTGCTTTTGCCGCTCTCGCCTTAGCAGCGGCAGAACGATCTGCAGCCTCATATGTGATATTGTATGCACCCTAGAGCGCGTATTGAATTACAAGTGTTTTTATAACAAATCATACATGCAGCAAAAAATTTTGACCGAGTTAGAATATCCAACAACATAATTTCTTCTTTCCTTACAATTTTCTAACTTTAAAAATGAGCAAATTAGAATCAGATGTTGGTAAAAAGCTTTCGTGGTTTCCGTCTCGAACAGTAACTCAAGAAGTATTGAGAATGCGAGACACAGTATATTACTGTTTGAAATTAATCCTTAAAAACTACATATAAAAGAAAGAGTAAAACAGAAGAGCAAATAAAAATCAGCGCAAAATATTGCCTCAGCGTCCGCTTCCCGAAGTAGTGTAACATTTTCATTCAGCTCTTGAGCTTGACGAGTTAATTCATCTGCTTTTTTTAGCAGTTTTTCCAGTTCTTCCCAAGCACTCTCGCAACTTGCAGATGTTTCAATAACTCCTTGGTTTAACTGGTTAATCTTCTCCTTCGCCTCATTAAA